GCCATCAAAAAATTAGGCCATCAAAAAATTAGGCCACAAAAACATTAGGCCACAAAAAAGCATTCGGCCACAAAAAAGCATTAGGCCACAAAAGAACATTAGACCACAAAAAACTTCGGCCACAAAACTTAGGTCACAGAATTTAGGCCACTTTTCATACAAACTGGTTTGGTTGCTCTGGAAACCCACATTTAGTAAAAAAAAACAATCCTCCGACTTTGGGGGCAAGCAGAGCTCAGAGAGGAGCGGCTGAGTGGCATTCCTCCTCGACTGATGGCGACGAGAGGCGGACAAACCGGTGGGGCGAGGTCTCTCTCAGCCACGGCTCACGTGGAAACTTTGTAGGTAACATTCAGAGAGTTGCCACCTCGGGGGGGTTCCAAAATAAAAAGGAAATAAAAAAACGACCCCGGGACACACCATGGGAAGATAAACTAAATTATATCACAATACCAGAAGCAGGGAGTACTCGACCTGTGAATTAATGATCTTGAGTGGTGTATTATTGTTGTTTTTGTTATGCAACTGACAAGAACCAGGAACATGATAAGTCCTGGTTTGTCCTATTGCATAATGATACACCACTCGTTGTATTCACACGCACGGTAGATGATAGTGCTCCCCTCGAGCAGTACAGTATTGTGAGATATTCTTTCACCTGCAGCACCCCCACTACCCACATGATACGTCCTGGGAAAACCCGGACAGGTGGCAACCCTATAGCGATCAATCCCTTCCTGCATGGGAATTGTTTTTCAAGAAGAGTCACTCGCGACTCCACGATGAATACCAAATCGTTCCACGATGAATACCAAATCGTTCCGCGATGCCCCCCCCCCGCCTCTCACTCTCGTACACCTTTTGTTTAACGAGCAGTTTTGAGGTTGGGGGGGGACAAAATGACCATGGCCTAAACATGCACAATTCCACCGGCCCTGTATCACGACCTTCTTTGTTTAAAGGGAGTGGGGAGGAGTGAGTGGGGGAGGGGGCACGACAACAGTCGACTTTGAGCAACCTTTAAACAAATGCTTAAAACGCCGCGCAATGGTAACGATCTGCCTTTTGTCTTGCGTGCATTCTGCTGCAGCCTCGCCCCCTCTGTGTGTACACGAGGAATGTCTTGCGACGCCCATTGCTTTCAATGCTTTGGGGAATTTAGAAGGGGGACTCTAGCAAGAAGGGGGGCGGGGAGGCAGGCGGGGCGGGGGAGATCCCTCCAACCCCCCCCCGACACCAAGAGACTGCTCTGCACAACATTTGACACTGGACTGAAGAGTAAGACAATGGAGATTGCGCTTCTGAATAACTCGGGCTTTAGTTTATAAAAGTAAAGCATCTCCCCCAGCTTCACCCCCCCCGCCGCCCTTCATTAGGGCCTTGTCGCGTCTAACTTGGGGGCTGCTGTTCGCGGATTTTCTGTTCCCTCCCTACACCCCACCCTGTGTTCGGTGACCACCCGCTTCATATCGGGCTCACGTTGAGTTCTAATGAAAAAAAATCTGTATTTATTTATTTTGTAAGTCAGCATCTCCCAACTTAAACAGGCAATGGTGGGGCGAGCGGGAGGGCGAAGCATTTATCTGGAGTTATAACAATCCTAAGTAGAAATTCCACATTCCGAAGGGATGGCAGAGGCAGTCTGCCTGCTCGATTGTTCCGCCGTTTAACTTCCCGCAAAGCGCCAGGCATGTCGCCGACACCAGGAGACGCTGGTGCCGAGTCGACCTAAACACGTGGATTCAGACTCACAACCGTCGCGAGTCGAGTCCATTGCGACTCTTGCCGCCCTGCCAGCGACCCAGGGTTGCAGGCTGGCAGGCTGGCATTCAGGTCGCGCATTAACCCCCCCCCCCCCCCGCTGCATTGGGGGGGGGGGGGGGGGTGTAGCGCGCTCATCGGCGCTTCTCGAAGAGGTTCGCGGTTCCAAAAGTCCCGCGAGGCGCCCTGCTTCATTAGCGCTGTTGTACTTCACCGTAAAGTTACGCGGCCGTCTGCAGTGCCGGATTAAGGTCGTGCGGGGCCTGTAGCGTATGTTAAATAGGGGCCCTAAAATAAATAAATAAAACACCTACATATTAAAACACACATTTTTTTTTACTTGCACAGAAAAGTAATTGTATTTTTTCATTTGCTATACAGCCAGATAATACGACAAATCGCTAACCTTAAACACCCAGTCGGTCGTAAAAGTTGAAGGCGGTATAGTACTATAGTAATAGAGCAAGTGCAGAATCGGAATTGATAGCTTGAAAGCATTTTGCGCGGGGCCCTTGAGAGTGCGGGGCCCGTAGCTACCACACATGCAGCAGCTACTTTTTGCTGCTGGGATAATCCGGAGCTGGCCGTCTGCGTCGCGATGTTAGTGAAGCGACATCCCGTTGTGACGTCATTCGAAGAAAATAAATCCGCCGCGTGCCGGCGTCGTCGAGGTCTCAATGTGCCCGATTTGAAAAATAAAGAAAAAACACAAATGTGCACCGCAAATGACTCAATTGAGATGATCCAGAGCAAAATCGCCCCCACCCCCTTACTGTGAAATCCGTCTGCAAAACATAGAATCTTCGTGACAATCGTGCGCTATAGAATGGCACGAATACCACACAGAGTAAGATTGTATTATGGCCTTGCCCTCCCCCCCCCACCTCCTCTCGTCTCTCTCATCTACATCCATGTCCCCACTTCTCGTCCTCTTAATTCCAAATCGAACCTCTCTCTGTGTCCCTCCTCCTCCCGATGCCCCATCGCAGCTTCGATCGTTCTCTTTCCTTGCACCCTTCCACTGGAATCAACTTCCCCTGTACATTGAGCAGTCCCCCCAACCACCTTAACTTCCTTCCGTTCCCATCCTCTTCCCTCCCCTCGCCCCTCCACTCCATCCCACCGCTGCCCAGTGGTTTACTATACTTTGGGTCCATGGTGTTTTTTTGTTTGTTTTTACTTCAAAAGCAAGGTCTCTGCAAGTTTTAACAGTAACAAAAAATAAATAAATTATAACATCCTCAAGTAGGGATTACACGGCAGGCCGGTGACCGAATGACCCAGAACGCGCCCGAACTCGTCAGATCACGGCTGATCTCGTCAGATCACGGCTGATCTCGCCAGATCATGGAGGCTGCAAATCAGGGTTGGTCCAGCGGGGCGCTTGAGCGGGCGACCGCGATGCTATCATCGGCTGCTGCGGAGCAACTTTGTTAGCAGCAGGTGTCCCAGTGCAGCAACATCAATTGCTGTCCTGTAAAGTGCATACTTCTATGCTCCCACATCCACGATTCGCGTCTGGACCAATCCGCACTGACCCAGCGTGGGTGCAGGTTTCAAATAATTCCCAGGACCAGCATGGGAGGGAGGAGAGATGGGGAGGCCCTCATCCAACAATGGATTGACAAGGATTGGGGGGAGGGGGGGGGGGGGCTTGTACGTGAACTTATACACCAACTGTGTGCGCATATTTGTACTTCCAGGCACGCACCACGCTGAACGGGCGCAGAGACTCTTGGCCACAGAACTCTTTTCGGCTTGATGGCAAAGGCTCGCGCGTGACGACGACTCAACCTTGCAGACGGGCGGGTCGCCATGAGGCAAGCACCTGGTGGTGGGAACGCCAAGGTCAACCCGGAGTCATCGGATAGAGCAATGCAATTGCGCAATTAGCTCAAAAATACTTTTTTTAAAAATCCGCACACTCGTCAAAAACCATTGTAGTCTTCAAATATGTATAAAGTCGGTGACGTTACGGGCAATGGCCCGTCTTCATATCTCAGAGAGATAGAGTGGATAATAATAATAATTGGAGACTAAACAACACTGTGGGGCCTGCTGAAACTTCTACTTTAAACAAAAAAATTCAGATGACCAAAAACGTAAAAGATCATTTAAGCAAATTCCATCCACCAAATGGATGAACGCCTGTTGAGATTATTTGGCTGCTATAAAATTTCCACGTGACAGGCCACTTTGTTGAGCAATCATTTGTGGCCAGGTCGCTTCTGAAAAAGAGCTGTACAGCTGTGGGTCTTACCTGGCAAAATAAAAATTGCTTTTAGTTTTAGTAATGTCACAACGTACTGTAATTACTATTAAGTTCCATTAATCTGTAATTGTGGAATAGTTTTACGTTGTCTGCCAACCGAGTCACCTTTGAGACAAACGAGCTTCTTCGCTCGATGGGCTTCACTCAGGGAAATAAACTTCCGATTCTGAAAAGAGGGGAAAAAAACCCTCAAAGTTAATTTTCAGAATCCTGACTGGTCACTTCAGATGGTGCCACTTTCTTGCTTGACCAATGAATAAGACATAGTGTGATGTTACAAGTCTAATATTTAATAGTTTAAAGTATAGGGTAGTGTAAAGTAACGCATTGTATAATTCAAAGGTGGCATTTGTCTATGGATATGATATTATACCATGTAGTTTAGATTGGAAGGTATAATATTGTATTGTATAGTAGTCCAGTTTATAGCATAGTTATAATGCAACACAGGACAAAGCAGCGCACCTTAGCTGTTCTGCTTTGGTATTTTTCTGTGTGCCCAGCCGTCACCCTCCTCCACTCCGGAGGTGGGGCTGAGTAACATGCTAATTCTTATGTTAATTCCGCCCACACAGCTTAAAAGACGCTGTCCATGCTTGGCAGTGTTCACTCAAGCGCTGTCTTCTGGACAGACCTGTTTCTTCACCTGAAGAAGGCTACTTGTGTTGTGGCCGAAACGTCGTGAGAATTTTATTTTATCATGTTTTATTTTTATTATTTTATTTCCATTCTACGTGGTGACTTTACCGAAAGAACCAAGAAGATCAATGAAAAGTGCTTGACTGATTTGTGAACCGGTCTGGGCTGAGGCCAGTTTTGACAAAAAATATAAATATATGTCAAAAAAACAGAACCGGTTTTTTGACAAGAAAAACATTTGCACTAAATTCGGACATTGGGTGTCACCCCCCCCACCCCCCACTCACACACGCACACACTTAAAATGAGGCCCGCAAGCACCACGGTGTTTTTGTTATACAAGCTCACATTTCTTTTATTGAAATTTATAATCGTGCACATTCATATTTTTCCAAGTGTATAGTAATAATCGTCAAACAATAGCAGCAGCAGCTCTAATGCGGCGATGTCAAATGTACAATTGCATTTTATTATTTCATTCTTATTTTTGCATTATAATTATTATTAAAGTTAAAAGTGGTACGTCGATTGTTGTGTGCTTTGCACACGGCAATGAGGCAACAGCATCTGTGCCATACGAGTGGGCGAGACTCTGGTGCGACTCCAAACCCACGAAAATATCACGACTTGAAGAGACCCCCCCTTCACCCGCCCATTAAAACCCAATGTGCTTACTTACACCCTTCACACACAGTGATCCATCTATAGATACTCCATAAAATGGGGGGGGGGGGTTACAAGAGAAAGCACGTTATTTATTTCAAAGCCTCTACCCAGCAAACACGCAACGTTGGGCCAATGTTGGCCTGTGGTTGTGCCAACACGTCTCCCAACAAATCGCAATATGACGCAATGGAATATTTTAACATCCTCCCTGCTTCATGTACATCATTCAAACGGCCGTGGAGAAGTTAGTAAGGCAGCGTTAGAAATTGGTAGGGTGTCTATAAATGGATCGCCCTGTATTAACAGGCGGTGTAACAATGCGGTGGATTCATCGATTGGCATCGGAATCTTTTTTTCACGCTCACGATTCGGCCATCACATTGCCCGTGTCGCCATCGACATTTCAGAGCCATTCGTTGAATATTGGATGGTAATTTGGTCACATAACCTCTCCGGCAATGTTAAGACAAAAGGAAAATCAAATTGCAATCCCCGAATCGTGAAAATGCATGGAATCATATGTCCCTCGCGTTTAATAATAAGTGGGGAATAACCTCCCACCCCAATGCTCTCTCAGATTATATACATTTAAAAAGTAACTTTTCACCACTTTCGCGTTTCCGTTACGTACACATTATAAGCTTTCTCAGACTTTCGGTGTTTCCAACACGCTTTACAAACTTTATTCATTTTTTACACATTTAATAGAGGGGTCCCTATCGTGCCGTTCAAACAATTTTGCGAGTCGCATCTTCATGGTCACGTCTCAAAATTCCGCACACCCAAGGGCAGGGCCGGTCCATGGGTGTTGTTGGTGGGGGGGGGGGGGGGTGTGAGGCCCAGGGCAAACCCCATCGTGCAGGTCCCCCTCCAAACCTTCAAACTAAATCAGAAGTATTACGTATGACACCGTGAGATCGAACCACGGGCCCGCCACCCCACCCCCCACCAGAGTGCGGGGGCCGGGGCAGTCGCCCCAATTCGCCGTGTATCTTAAGGACGGTTCTGCCCCAGGGGACAAACAATGAAGCTCAGTGTTTGAGCCAAGGGACTTCCCTACCAACCAACGAAAATTATATAGAGAGCTTAACCATTATAGCCGAGCCGTTTTCACTACTCTATAAAACTTGGGTTTCTCAAGACTCTAGTCCTCCGCACCCTGCCCCATTCAAATTTTACCAATATTGCCATTTTAAATACATGTCAAGTCGTGATGCGTTTTTACATGCCTGATGATTGCTAAACACAACAACCTGCGGTGGGCAATACGATTTAAGGAGGTCTGAGAAGCCGTGGGTGTTAAGATTATTGTGATGTTGCTGCCTGCACATTAAACGTCTAATTTGCTATCTAATTCTATAACTGGTTAATTTGCTTGTTAAAAAGGGCTGCACTTTAAAGAGTGTCAAGTGCGCATCGGATGCACGAGAAAATGTCGATGAAATGAAGAAATACAAATATGGTACAAAGCTGCATCTCATGGTGAGTGGCCAAGATTGTGGTCGTACGAGACAGAAGTAATGAATCAGAACAGTATTATAAAGACCGTTTTCTTTCCACAGCTTTCCTTCCGAATGTCATTAACAATTCGCGTGAATTGTAAAAAAAGATGAAATGGTTTATGCGCAAGGTTGAGTCAGAGCCCGAGGCCATCATTTCAACGTAGAGAGCATCTAATTTTTTCACGGAAAGCAGAAATTTGGAAATGTTAAAACAAAATAGGTTCTTTACACCATCAAAAAAATATATAGAAATACATTACATCTGGCTTAAAAAAATCAAAATAAATAGGAGTTGCAATCATTTATGTAATATCTGCCCAATCAAGTGTAAAAACCTCATTCTTCTTTACAAAGTTCTGTTTTTACAAAAAGTTATTTCATTAATTGTACGGAGACTAATTTACAGAGTAAGCTCAGTATAATGTAAGTAAGCTGAAATTCAGCCTATAAATATTGATTAATTACATGAATGGCTTAAAATTATATTCCTTTTACATTTAAACAGCCAAAGCGGTGGCAACTCGGGCTGCGTGGAAGCTACAGCTCCACACAATGGGTTGGTTAATTGCCCCGTTTATTTTTTTTAAACGAGCTTTTGCAGCAAATTCCACCGCATGAATGCATCAAGGTAATCCGCCCGGAGGACGACAAGTCAAGACGAAAGGAAGGCCCACCTTTCTCTGTATCGCAATTTAAAAAGAACAAAAAATACTGCCTTTGCGCGGGGCGGGGAAGAGAAAAAGACGCAAGACGCCGCCGTCAGAAGTCGCGCGCCGTTCCTCCCCCCCGTCAGGCGCACAGGTCACAAAAGGGCACGGTGCGCGGGCCTCATTCCGCGATGGCAAGACCCGCTCGGCACCGCGCTGAGCGCCTCGCACGCCCGCCCAGCTCGAGAGGGGCACCTCTAACCGCCCCCCCCCCGCCCGCCCGCACCCCCGTTACGCCACAGCCACACGTGTCAAGGTGTTTAACCTGACGTCATGAACGCCACACTAGAAGAGCGATTTTCTTGGAACGTACACAGTGAGGGTTCGACGAATCGTCGCGACTGGTGGTCGTGACAATTTATGACTCGATGGGTTTGTTTCGTATTTTTGCCCTCTCGCTTTGTCTGTGCCATTTTGTATCAGTTCGATCCGATCCGCCCCCGGTCATGGCGAAAGGGAGTAGTACAACTGTTCAACACCCGGTGAATTGCCGAGGTTCAGAGCGGTGAAATCTATTCAACAGTTATTTATTTCTCGTTTCACGTTTACGAGACGGGAATGTTTTTTTTTATTTTTACCTGCACAGTCTTGTTTGCTCCATTAGCCCGATTGTAAACATCACCATGGCGTTTATTATTATTATCACGTAATGTTCAGAAATTATTTTTAAAAAACATTCCAATGCGCATGATTAATTGTGCGTATTATAAGGCAAAACAATTGATTTAATATTGCGGGTTTGTGACGGGTGGTGGCGGCTTGAATAGGCCGCCTTTATCAAGCAGTTGATTGACCACGGCTGATGACTACGATGAATCGTTACGTGGCCAATCAAGACCACGCCTGAAGTGCAGGATTGGACATCGCAGGGGAGGAACCCTCATCTCGCCAAACACGTTCCTGTAAACGTACACCCACCAGAGATTGACAAACCTGTTATTCTTGCAACGCCCCAGTGCTTTATGCCGTCATACGTCGTTTATGCAATGGCTGGCACTCGCGAACCAAGGTGGCGACTCACGGGACAATCTGGCAACACACCGATGGGCTGGATGGACAGGAAGCCCTGCCAACACACGCTTAGCTCCACAGCCAGGGGATAAAATAAAAAAAACACGCAAAAATATGAACGTAAAAATTAAACCAAAGAAATCCAGCAATCGCTCACAACACGATCGCAACTGGCGCAAGCTACTGTTGTAAAATTCAAAAAGAATAACCCAAGTCAGGCTGAAACATTTACGTCTCTCAGCTACCGCCAGCCAGAGTTGAGACATCCTCTCCCCACGCTTGACGTGCCATGGGACAACGGCGGTGCTCAGTTAACGAGCTTAATCGCGCGTGAGCGTGGTGCAAACCCAGGTGAGGGGGGGGGGGTGCCGCAGGCAAAGAATATAAAATGTCGCCCGCACCACCTGACCGCACCGCGTGCAACGTTTGCCATTGTACTGTACTGGCAGGACCTGATGTGCTACTCCCCAATTCAAAGCAGGAGGGAGAGGCGATGTTATTGTGCAGCGGCAGGCACCCACGGGGGTGAGCGGCGCGTAGCTACAGGTGCGTGCCCACGTACCCATACGGGTGCATGCCCGCGTACCCATGGGTGAGCGGCACACGTCCTAATGCTCGCACCGAACACCGCCAGCGCTGCTCTGAGCGAACGATCGCGGCGCCACGTGTTGATCGCACCATGGGGCCGCGACTAAGACGAGTCTTCCGGTCAACGCACTTCAAAAGCGCCGCGTAATCCAGCGCTATTATTATTTTTTTACATCTTAATTTTTTTTTAAAGCACAGCCAGAGGAAATGCTATCAGCATCGGAAACCTGACAGCAGCTCCTCGTTTCGTTGATGGTTGTCCGTTACATTTTTTTACATAGGTTTTTTTTTTATTGTGGTTGCTTTACTGGTCCTGGGTTTTTAAAGGGATGAATGGATGAATAAAAAAAAAAGTCCAGACGAGTTCCCAGGGGCCTGGACCGGAAGGACTCATTCCCCTTTCACCATCTTGCAGTTGCGCTTGACGCGGGAGTATGGGCCGAAATTGTCGTTGAACACAAAGTCCCAAAGCACTTTGACCCAGGAGGTGTGCTGCGGCAGGTGATCGTAGAATTCCGGGGCCATCTTCTTGACCTGGAAGTGGGAGGTGGGGGGGGAGACAATCGCCGGAGTGGTTAGTCCACGGCCGCGAGCCCAACGCGCATTTTATTTTATGCAGCAAGAAAATATTTTTCCTTTGTGCGATGCCGCCGGAGTGTTCATTTAGTGAGCGTTTAAAAAAACTAAATGCGTCAGATTCTTAGTAGGGTCGACAAAAATCCGTGGGGATTTTAGTCAAGCCTTATGCCACGGACTTCCTTAAGCAATGCTCTTAGTCCAGTTGGCTAGCAAGTTCACTAAGTCGGTGAAAAAAATGTCAAATGCTCTCCTGCTTGGTGTTGATAGATTTTTAAACTATACGTGGAAGCATTGCATGCATATGACCGTGGGGGTTATAATGTTAATGTAGATCTTATTAACAAAACCCATAGAGGACATCGTGCACTGATGATCATAAATATTTAAGCCAAGAACTCCCAAAGACAATTGGCGACTCCAACGCTGGCACCGGTGCTGGAACACTCGGGGCCCTAAGCAGAATTACTTTTGGGTGCCTCACGCACCCACCAACGTTTGGTGACAGACATACTACATAGCTTAACGATATTTTCATCATGTTACGTAATTAGAGTAATCGAATCATCTCAAGAAAATGTATTCTGAGTTATTTTAATGTTTTTTATCTTTCACATGCATGTCAGTTGGAGCTGATGTTCAGATGCACCAGAATTGTTTCACGAATCCCGTGGCCTCCTTGAGCCACTTGGGACCCTACCAGAGCCACAGCCAGATAATTTCTGACATATCTGGCATCCGGGGGAATGGTGTTCCGCAATAGCCCTGCCAAAAGTTTCAGTCACCAGCCGCCCCCCGCCGGCACCACCAGCCCCACCAACCCCACTAGCCCCACCCTTCCTACGGCACTGACCACCGCCGCCGAGCGAGCGATCAAGCGACCAAGCTGGGGCGCGCACAACTTACGAGGGGCAGCTTGCTGCCGGGGATGCTGGGAAAGTCGTGGTGCTCCATGTGGTAGCCCACGTTGAAGGTGATCCAGTTGAGCGGCCCATAATAGGACACAGTCTCGTGGCCCTTGAGGAACATGTAGTGCTCGGCAATGAAGTGGCCCGAGATGGGGTGCAGACCCATGCAGAGGATGGTGCCGGCGACCATGAACACCACGGGCTTGAGGCCCCACAGGCTGTAGACGACGAGGTCGAAGACGAACTGCACCAGCGCGTTCACCATCTCCATCTGGGTCATGGGCTTGGGGTTGACGTAGAGGGGCCGCAGCGTGTAGAGCAGCGGCTGCAGGATGATCCACACAAGCTTGCGCGCTGGCGTGCAGAAGAACCAACCCTCGAAGTCCGTGGGGATGTCGACGTCGAGGCCGTCACCGCCCAGGTAGCGGTGGTGGTCGATGTGGTACTTCTTGAAGGACACCGAGTATGGCACGCCGATGGGCAGGTTGGCGAACATGCCGAACAGGCGGTTCCAGCGGGCCATCTTGTTGCCAAAGGCGGCGTTGTGCGAGATGTCATGGATGGCGAGCGTGAGCGAGTGGTTGATGCAGCCGCCTAGGCCATACGCCCAGAACATCACCCACTTCCACGAGAGGTCGCTCACCACGTAGAGCATGAGGACCTGCACCAGCACCATTGCGGACACCACCCACTTGAGCTGTGGGTCGGGCCCCATGAGCTCCTTGATCTCCGGGTGCTTCGCTGAGTTGGAGCGGAGGAATGGGGAGTGCAAGGGAGTAAAGTTAATGAACCGTCATCATCATCGTCATCATCGTTATTTTCACCATCATCGTTATCGTCACCATCATTGTCATGAAAACCAAGGTGTTTAGGCCGTGCGCTACGACATCCAACTGCCTTGAAGTGTGGCTCTATATTTCACTGAGCAGATACAGGAATCGTTCACAACTCCGTTTGTGAGCGTCTTTCATCAGAGATCTCAAAGCGCCGTAGAAGACATGGCAGCAGACGCTCGGCCTGGTGATCACTCGTAGAACTAAACGCTAACAAATGGCAAAAATTATTAAATTAAAGTTGAGAGCTGCTTGGTGAATGAGCTAAAAGTTGAATAAATGGAAGTGAATAAATAAGCTTTAACATGTACCCTTTATTTGAGCATTGCACAAAGTGTAATCGTTATCAGACAATAAATTCACTTCATATTCTTTGGGTCTTTTGGTGAAGTCACGTAAATGGGTTCAAAGAAAATAACAAAAAACTACGATGTTTCGATCGCAGCACAAGCGGTCGTCATCAGGTAAAGGGTTTTAGCCTCTAAAGGCAAACTGTTTATAAAGGTTTGAAATGGGCATAGCCCAAGTGTCAGGAGCATGGGTGGGGCAGCTAATGGTAATTTAAGTGATGGAACTCGTAGAGGGCAATGACGGCGATGGTGGTGGGTTTCCACCAATCAAAGGGCTGCCAAGTAATAATTGCACCTCGCTTTACACACTCAAACTGTTGACGGTACTTGTAGAGTAGCATCACCGCTAGCAGCCTCCACCGTCAACAATCCTGGCCTAGCCGACTCACTTCTCTTAACGATCAGAATGAGCTCTGTGTATATTCCCTAACACATGTGCTCCTCGTTCAAAAATTCACGCGCGATATTTCATTCTAGTGTCATTAAAAATAATAAAATGACAATTATTTACCCAGGATAGCCTCAAAGAGTGTAAAAAACAAATTCCCAGGAGGCTGCTACATTGGGACGTTGGGACAATTCTGAGTAACAAGAGTTTGGATTCGTCTGGACGGAGAAACCAGAGACAACCCAGCGTGCATTTGGGGATTATGGGGGTGCAACACTCAGCACTGTTATCTCGTGGCCTCATCTCATAAAGACAGTGACGCGAACTCTGGTCATCTTCACAGCGGCAGCTTTTGTCTGGCCATTGAACAAAGGCGGTCACTGCATTGCACACTTTCAGATGCGCTTCTGCGGCCGTCTGGAATGCTCTTCCTTCCTATATCAGGAAGCCACTGGAGGCTATGCATTTTTAAATCTAGGTTGAAAACGAATTTCTTATAAACTTATTTTTGTGTTAAGTCTGTTGTCCTACCGCCACACCGCCGATTCGCGCGGTTGGCTACGCATCGTGCGAAAGAAGTTCAACATACATACATACATACACACCTACAACACCTGGCAAGCCCTCGTGGGTCACTTATCCAAATATTTACGAAGCCCCACTCTACTGCCCGTGAGACGAGGGCACATTCGAGGTCATTTGGGTTAACAGACAAAGCAGGAAGGAAGCAGAAAGCTCGTTGGTTCGCAAGGTTTTTAAGACATGATGAAAATGTTTCAATTCACGGGGTGTCTCAAAGTTGACCCCAGCGCAAGACGTTGCCGTGCAAAGAGAAAATAGTGGGTAGGAGGCTGCGGTGGTGGGGGGGGGACGATCTTGTGGGGAAAATAAACTGACACATTTACTCAATAAGATGAAATCTACATGACACACACGTTGCAGGTGGGCAGTCGAATTGGAATCATGTCCATGGCAACATGTAGAGCACCTTGACTCAAAGCTTTCGTGACTGCAGGAATTCATATTCTTGGGCACTTTCGGTAAAGCCACGTGGATAGGTTCAAAGAAAATGACCAAAAACAACTAGAAAAACTACGACGTTTTGATCGCAACGCAAGCGGTTACATACAAAGCTGGAAGGAAGCAGAAGCTTGCGTTGCGATCCAAACGTCGTAGTTTTTGTAGTTGTTTTGTTATTTTATTTTATTTTCTTTGAACCTATCGACGTGACTTCACCGAAAGACCCAAGAATATGTAGAGCACCCTTTTGTTGCTGTGCTGCACTTCTACGCTCCCACATCTACGCTGCCCACTTTTCACCAATCCACACCGACCAGCGTGACGAAGTACGTGCCAAATGACCTTGGCGTGGAGAGGCCCTCATCCAGTTGTGGACTGACAAGAGGACGGGCTATGCGTGCGTGCACTTTTGGCCCGCGAAAGAATTACGTGAAGCTACTGCTGTCCACAAATACACCACAAATACCTTTCTGATCTCGTCAAGGGACACAAACCATCACATGAACTCTGGGTCATCCTTGCAGCGGCAGCTTTTGGCTAGCCATCGAACATAGGCGGGTCACTGCATCGCGCACTTTCAGATGCCACGTGGAACGCTCTTTCTTCTGATATTAGGAAGCCACTGGATCTATGCACTTTTCAACCCAGATTTAAAACCGATTTCTTTTTTGTGTTTGTTGTCCTTCCCCCGTACCTCCAAATAGCACATTTGGCTACGTACAATGCGAAATAAGTTCAACATACATAAACACAAACTAAACAAAAAAGCAGTTCTAAAGAAATGAGTTTTCAACCTAGATGGCCGAGCCAAAAGACTTTAAAAGTCGGACACGCGCTCTTCCGCAGCATCACCGCGCTGATGGCGAGTTCACTCAGGAGGAGCGACATCACGGCGATTTTTTCTTGTCAGGAGTGGCTCCAAAGCTTCTATGGCTCCATTAGCAATGCCAACAGTGGCAGGCGATGACTTCGGTTTGCACAGCTGTCAAACCGGGCGCGCCGCGACCAGACCTGCAGCGGCTCTTGATTTGCTCGAACCGAAGCTGGTTTAGCCATTTAAATATTACCGCACCCCCGATTAGCACGCTTGGCTACGTTCGGTGCGAAAGGCGTTCAACATGCATGCATACATACATACGTTACAGCAGTAACGCTATACGCGTGCGGTGCCTGGCTCGGTAAATACAGGCCACAATCAACCACACAGGATCAGATTTTTAAAAAAGTTTGTGGACACTCCTTACATTTTATTCCTGGACAGAGTAAATAAATATATATACACCTGCCATGGTAGGGGATGGGGGGCAGGAGGAGGTGGGGGGGGATCCTGTTTCTATTCAAACATCTTGTGGCAAACTAATGGTAACAATCCCTCGTATTAAATGTCCACTGCCTTTAATAAAGGGCGGCGAAGGTCAAGGCGCAGCCTTGCAAGTGCCCGGTCCCGACGCCGTTGGCGGATGGCCCTCCACCAGAGGGAGCTCAAGAGGAAGGTCCCTCTGAGGGTATTTTTAGGCCTACTCTTCCATGCTGGCCAGATATCAGTAGGGCAAAAAAAATCCCTGCTGCTGGGCGATTCGAATCAAACCAGCGACCTCTGTTTAGCAAGTTCAGTGCGCCAACCGCTACACCGCGGCACCTTTGGGTACAGAAGCTCCGATACACATTTTTTTGTTAAAGTATCCCAACGTTTCCTCTTCGGGAGCCCAGCGTAAACTCACGGAGAGATGTCCGTGTATTTCTGTTCGCTACGCGAGGGGAACCAAGCCCACGCTTGCAGCGCTTTTTGAGGAAAACGTCTCTGTTTAACCAACCGGCGAGCCCGTTGAGATTGCGAGACGTATTTCGCAAGGCGATACAACACCGGGCGAAGCGCAAACGCCATGGTGACAACAGGTGTAAGAAAAAAGGGAGAAAAAAAAACACGGCCACTTTTGTTACAAAAAATCAAGGCGGTCAAACCTTTTCACTTGCACAAAGCGCGCGTGTGTGTTGTGTGCAAGCGTGTACGTATAGATGTTGTGTTGCAACCGGCATCATGCATTTTACACTTCGAATGACGACAGCCCACACAACAGTCAAGGCTGTGTGCGTGCGTAGCCGTGGACCGGACGGTCCCCTTGGCTAATGTGTGTGTGTGTGGCAACGCCACGCGGACGGGGCAGCGGGTGTGTGCCGACCTTTCAAACGCGCCACCTCCGCCACCACTGCGACATTCGAAGCCGACGACAAATTGCAATTTTTGACGTCCACACCGACGGCCTTGGTGGACAGAAGAGGGGGCCGATTTTCCCGACAACGCAGAGCGAACAAACGCGACGGCGCGTCGCGCTGTCTCTGAGCGAGGGTGCAACGTTCAAGGATGGAATGTTAACAGGAGCGGCCGATGACAAAAATTAATTGCATCGTTTCGTGAAAGGGACAGCGAAGACGCAGCGGTTGGAGCACTGCACTGTGACGGACCGGGTAACCAGTGTGCGAATCCTCTGACGTGGCCAGCTTCAGTGACGAGCGGTGTCTGAACCAGTATCGGGGGGACCGCTCCCAAATTGAATTGTATACTTCGAGACTGTAATGGAAGCGCATCATCACCGTGTTAAACATTCTCGTGAGCGAAGACATCCAAACCCGGTGGCTCAGAGGCAGAGCGAGCAGCTCGCACTTAGAAGGCTGCAAAAATTCAAATTGTGGTTGGGGGGGGGGCTAATGCAGCCCATCATCTTTCTGGGGTCAATAAAATAGATACCACGTTTTGGGAGCATCAACAGTGATTGTCATGTGGACATAGAGTCGCCCCCTTGCAACAGAAAATACGGAGCATTCTGGCTCAGAGCTGTAAACGGGAGATCAGCATTGCCTCAATGTCCATTCGAGCAAGGATTTTATTCATTGAAACGGGGTCCCTCAAAGAAATTCTACTCGGGGCAACCACCACAGGGCCAGCGCCACCGCTGCATTCAATAAAACATTCATGTTTACCGAGACCGCGGAAGGAAAACGCTTTGCGCAATGATTTAACAGAGTTCTGCCTCCATGGCCAAAGAAAATATGGAAACACCTACAACATAGGCAACATGTTACACCACCAAAAATAAATAGGGTAAATGTTTAAAAGCGATGACTCACGTCTTTGGGAATGGCAAGAAAGCC